CCCCCCCCGAATGTAACCATTGGTGCTCTTGAGCCATTCTCTCTTGCTGGAGAACCCTCCATACTCTGGTGGGCTGTGCTTTCTCTTTCTAACTAAAACTGCTCTTTGTATTTTGCCTGGAACTCTTGAGCTACACTATCGCTTGAGCCTGCTCAATCTTCTCTGGAGTGTACTTTCTCTTTTACTAAATAAACTGCTCTTTGTTTTTTCACCTCTGGTGTGTCTCATTCCAATTCTTTGTTCAAGACACTAGGAACCTGGACTTAGCTGGCAAAATCTGCAAATTCCCTCGGTTTCCCGTAACAAACCCGTGAAGGGGATCTCAAGCGGTGGCAATTTTGTCCCCCAGGGGACATTTGGCAATGCCTGGGACATTTGGGGTTGTCAGTTAGGGTAGTGCTACTGGCATCTGATGGGTAAAGGCTAGGGAGGCAGGTAAACAACCTACAATGCACAGGACAGCCCCCATAACAAAGGATTATTTGGCCCCAAATACCAGTAGTGCCAAGGTTGAGAAATGCTGGCCTTTAGGAATCTATTACTATCTAGATCACATTATCTTTTCTCTAAACACATCCAGTCCAGTCTGATTGGCAGAATAGTCCTGCTTTCTTTTCTCAAGCAGGCAAACTGAGTAGGGTTAAGAGAAACTTCTTTGAAAGAAACTCTTACAAAACAACATGTACCTGGAACAGGAGCTTGAATCAGCGGGTGCTGCTTAGGGACCTCTGGCTTCCCATTTGAGGCCATAAATGAAATGCAAAGTGCGTGACCAGGTGCCTGGCATATGGTAGGTGCTCACTCAGTATCTTTCTTCATTGCTTGCTTGCTTGGGGTAATGAAATATTGTGGTGAGTGGGTACCTTTAACCACTGTTTGCAGAATTGGGTTTAAGCAAGACCTTGCAGAAACCTTGGAGTTTGAGAAATTGACAGAAACCCGGTGGCAGCTGTCTCTGTGGTTATTCTTATGTTCCCTCCAGCATTTCATTAGAAACTCCAGATTCTATCTTGTTGGACTGCCTGTGATTCTTAAGAGTAATTCGTTTGATGAACATTTATGGTTCAACTGTCTCTGTGCCAGGTGCTGATGTCAGTCATTGTCACTACCTTTATGAGGCTCTTGGTTTGCCTGGTAAGATAGACACTAAACATGCAATTGTGCAGTTATTCAATTCAGAACTCATAAATGTTTCCTAGGACACATGGGATGTATGAGAGGGTATTAGAACAAGGGGACCTAACCTAGTCTGGAAATTCAAGGGAAACACACCTGAGGAAATATTTAGGCTGTGGTTGAATTAACCAGGTAAAGAGGGAGAGCTGGGGTGGTGGGAAATGTAGGGGACAGAGCAAATACCACGTGGGAAAGTCATGGGAAAGGAGCCTTACAGAAAAAGAAAGAAGGGTAGAGCACTGTGACATAGTGTGAGGCACCAGATGTCATGGGTTGGTAGGGAATGTCACGAGGTGAGGCCATGGACACAGAACAGATAAAAATGGGATAGGGCCTTATAAGCCATATTGAGCATTTTGGATATTATCCTAAGATTCCTGTGAAGCAGGGTAGTGACATAATCAGATTTGCATTTTAAAATTTGCATTTAAAAAGAGGTTTGCTAGTTACTTATGCTTTCAAACCACTTTTAATTTCTGGAATATCGAACTGCCACTGATACTTTGATGTATTTAAAAAAATTTTTAAATTTATTTTTATTGAAGCATAATTGATCATATATATTCCTGGGGCACAATGTTGACTATCATCACCCGTGCACAACACTTTTAATTTCTGGAATATCGAACTGCCACTGATACTTTGATGTATTTAAAAAAATTTTTTAAATTTATTTTTATTGAAGCATAATTGATCATATATATTCCTGGGGCACAATGTTGACTATCATCACCCGTGCACAATGTGCTGATCAAATCAACATCATTAGCATGTTCATCATTACAAATCATAATTACTCTTTATGCCCTTTAGCCAGTATTCACAGAGTTGCGCAACCGTTACCACTTTGTAATTTTGGAACATTTCATTACCCCAAGAATAAACCCCATACCTGTTAACAGTGACTCCCCATTATTCCCTCTCTCCAGTCCCTGACAACCACAGTCTACTTTCTATCTCTGGATTTGCATATTCTAGACATTAAATATAAGTTGAATTAAACACTATGCGGCCATTTGTGACTGGCTTATTTCACTTAGCATAATGTTGTCAAGGTTCATCCATGGTGGAGCATGAATCAGTACTTCATCCCTTCTTGTGGCTGAGTGCTACTCTGTTGTATGGGTTTACCACATCTTGTTTATCCATCAGTTGATGGATGTTTGAGTTGTTTCCACATTTTGGCAATTATGTATAATGCTTCTGTGGAGTTGACATTTATGCACATAGTCAGGAAGGACATAGATTTCAACCTCTATCTTTAAAGAGGAGAGCTTCACTTTTTATTCTGTAGCACATTATATTCAATAAGCAGTTTCTTTTCTGAAAGATTTATGTGGCAGTAAAGGTTCAACCACATGTGTTAATGTTGACGAATTGAGAGGAATGCTATTAAAAACCTGGTTTTCCTCTTGGCACTTGAAAGCTATATTTGCCATTAATGGTACCAGTTCTTGCTTAGTTCTTGCTTAGAAGTCAGAGTCCATTGTTGTTTAGATGTCCATTTGCAAATGGATGCCAAGGAATTCTTAGCTCCTCTGTTTCACTTGAATGACTTCTTGTCTATGTTAATAGTATGTACCTGATTACCTATTATCATGGTGGTGGCTTTCACCTTGATTAGTCACTTCAGAAAATAAAAAATAAAAGTCAGAGTGGCCTCAGTATTACAGAGTTCAGAATGTGTACCAGGAGGTCATGAGTATAATAAAAAATGTCTTACAACCTTGCACTGGGGGCATAACTTCAGGCACAGTAAGTATTAAGAATTAGTCAATGATTAAGCAAGAGCATTTTCAGACCAATAAAAAAAGTGTAGGCAGTGAATGTAAGAAGCTTTATAGCTTGTCATATATATAGGGTAGGAAAAATGAAAGTAGTTTTACATAAAACCCAAGCAGTTTTGTTAACAGTGGTTAAATGCCAAATTAGCACAAATCAGTCAACAACTGGAAAGGTTTGGTTTATCCAATTTAGGGTACAGGGTTTGTAAAATGATTAATCTTTGAAATTTAATGTGCCTGTTTGCTTGTGTGTTGGTTTATAACTGGTTCCTTTTAATGTTAGTGTCAGGAATGTTACCTAAGATTTTATTCAACATTTAGCAAGCTTAAGGTGACTGTAAAATTGGTCCACCAATTGTGCAAGCAGTTACCAGACACCTACTACTGATAAATGGTCATATTTGTCAGGGGGAAGCAACTCTTACTGGGAAAAATTGGTTGTTTCATAGCAGATGATAGTAACTGGTCTACTCTACAGTTTCATCACTGTACTTAATGGGCTTACTCTTATTTATTAGTCCATGTTAGAGGAATCTCATTGCTATTATTATTATTATAAGATTCTCACTGTTCACTTTGTACTATATCGAGGACTTGCCTACATTATCTTCAATCCTCATAGTACCCTATCAGGACAGATTAATACCAGTGATATATTTAGTCTACAGATGAGTAAAGAGAGGCTGAGATTAAGTGACTTACTTGTCTGAGTTCACATAGCAATAGCAAGCCAGGACTTGATTGTAGGGCTGACTCTAAAGCTGATGTACAGTCTACTTCCCCACTTCTCTGGTACACTAATTCTAAGTGAAATATTTATTGTGGAAGATTAAAATTTCATCTGTAGTTGAACTTCTTGAATTTTGTTCTAAAAAATACATGCTGGTTGGAGCTCGTTTGTCGAAATCTGGTTCTTAGCACGTTATTACTTTTTCTTCTCATTGATTGCAGTATGACCTGAAGTAACTTAATTGTTCTTGAGAACATTTTGTATCTGTCTGTAAGAATATCTTATGACCTGTTTGTGAGGCACATCTTAAGATTTCTAAAGGTCTCTTCTATATAGACTACAAGAAGAAAGGCAACTTAATCTGGTCACTGGAGTGTTAAATTCTGCTACTTACTCTCCCATTGATTTGTTTGGTGGTTTTGATTTGAGTCATTTGATCATGTGACTGTTTTATCTAAAAACAAGGTTAATAATGCTAGCTATTTGCCTTCTGAGTCAGAGAATCTGGCTTCATGATCTGGTTCTGCCACCTGCTAAGCTTGCTGACTTAAAAGCCTCTTCACCCTTCCCTCACCCTCTTTACCTACCTTGAGAGTTGTGAGAATTAGTTGACAAGTCATGTCTGAAGAAGTATTTTATACTTTATAAGTCATAAGAGTATAAGAGATGAAGATTATTCATAAAGTACCATGAAATTATATATTTGGAAATCTTAGGTTTGATAAGTCTTCTGTTTTTGTTTTTGAATTTTTTTAGGTGACACATCAGTTGTGCGTTTTAATTTTTGTTTTCTTTTTCTTTTTTTTTTTTTAGTGGTATGTGTGCAACAGAGAGAAATTATGCGAATCACTCCAGGCTGTCTTTGTTCAGAGTTATCTTGATCAAGGAACACAGATCTTCTTAAACAACAGCATTGAGAAATCGGGCTGGCTATTTATTCAATTATATCATTCTTTTGTGTCATCTGTTTTTAGCCTGTTTATGTCTAGAACATCTATCAATGGGTAAGTGAATGTTGGACTTTTTTTTTTCCCCCCTTTCTCTTTAGGCTTATAAAAGGAAAAATGAAAAAGAAAAGTTACCTTGTTCAAGATATTGAGCATCTCAGCTATAACACTTCTACTAGTCAAAATGCTTGGCAGTAGGTCCAGTGTTCCAGCTTTCTGCAGATAACACTTTTTAAATTCACCGTAACTTGACAAATAGCCTCATTAATCTGTATTTCTATGGTGGGAGTTACTTAGGGAAATGCTTCTTAGCTTTGATGTACACAGGAATTATCTGGGGATCTTGTTAAAATGCAGATTATGAGTCAGTAGGTCTGGGGCTGGGCATGAGATTCTGCATTTTTAACAAGCTCCCAGGTAATGCCAATGATGTTGGATGCTGCTGGTTGTGGACCACAGAGTAGCAAGACACTTGGAACCAAGCCCTTAGGCTGAAGAGTAAGATCTTTGCCTTAGACACACTTCCAGGAACAAGTATTTTGGGGGGATCTAATTAACCAACTCGACAGTGGGTAACGGCTTGTTTGAAATGAAAAGTACTGGATCTGTTCTTACGTAATTTCCATGCTCACCAGAATTTTATAAACTTATGAAATTCTCTGTCCCCAGAGTGGTTCTTTCATATAAATTGATAGAAAAAACTGCAGGAATTTTTTTTATTTTTTCTTGGCCAACATTTCAAACATCCCCACGGCCCTAGAATCCAGAAAGCCAAAGGGAAAAGCACCAGAGCTCTATGTTTAGAAAGCCTTGTTGGACCACTAAAGCCACTGGTTGGGCCCACTTTTCTCTTTCCCTTGACGTTTGGAGCCAGTTTCTTCTGAATGTCTGGATCCCCAGTCTATCATCTGGTCCATAAATATGTTGTCAGGCACCACAAGCCGTTTCTCAAGATTTCTTGCTTGGTTTTTTTCATTGTTGATGTGAAATTGCCTTACATTTGCCTCAGCAAACAGTTGTTATTTTTATATTGGTAGCTGACTTTATATAATTCGATCTGAAATTTTGTTCCTAAAAGTGGTTGTACTAAATTTCTATTCTATACCATATATTCATTCTTTGGAAATCAGATGAGTCACTGTAGCAGAGATTCTTATCTTTTCTGGGGTCCTGTACCTCTATGAAAGTGATTAAAGGTAGGAATCCTTCCTTCAAAAAGTATTTACATTCAGCATTTTGCATATAATTTGGGGGGTTCCCTTTTCCTATACCCTGGTTAAAATTCCCTGCTCTGGCATGTCAGTTTGATCACAGAGGCAATGAAATTACTAAACCCCTTTGGCTTCCCTTGTCTATAACTCTTCTGCTTTTTTCTTTTGATACCCCCCTACCCCCAGTCCCTCTTGCCCTGATTGTGTCTGATTCTCAGCTGAAAATTTAATTTTGAGCTCATTGGTACTTTTCATCCATGGCAATGGTAGATTATTACTGCAAGTGGCTGCCTCTTGCAGAAATAGTTGTTGCTATGGTACCTTCTTGAATTAACTTAAGATACTTCTCAGACTTCCTTTAGGTTGGAAAGGAGAAGGCCAGGTAAGGAAAGACTTGATATTGTTTTCAGAGTTTATTTTATAAGGAAGAGGCACACCTCCTTTATAGACTAATCTAGAGAAAACTTAGATTGTGGCCAAAGAAAGGATGGTTATTAAGCACTAAAGACAAGTTAGAGAGCTGTATCTCTCCATGGTATGTGTTTACCAGAAACCTTGTATTGGGCTAGGTCATTGTCTTAGTATTTTAGGTGGGACATCTCTTTGTTGTGTGAGACTGCCCCATACAATGCAAGAAGTCTAACTTTTCTGGCTTTGCCTACTAAAGGACAGTAGCGCCCCCAAGTCTTGTAGCTACTTGCAACTCTCCTACCTACTCCCAGTGCCCTCTAGAGGCCAAAACCAGTCCTGGTTGAGAAACACTGGGCTTGATAGATTTTGATTTATTTTTTGACAGTTTTAATCTTTTTGTGGAGTCTTCGTTGCTAATGTTCTTTAGAAATAAGACAGTGCTTCCGCCCTCTCTCTGGTGCCTTTGAAGTGTGGACCAGTCAGATGACCTTGTGAGCTCTCACCCCAGATGACCTCTAGCTCTAGAATTTTACGATAAGCATGTCAAGGGTCCTTATGTTCCAAAGAGATGGCTTGGGAAGCATGTTATTTTATAGCTGGGAAAGTTTAAGCAAAATATCTATTTTGTGGCTTGCTTTTGTCCTGTGGCAAGTCAGCACCACCATTTGAAACATGCCTCCCTCAGCCATGCTGCCTGTAGCCTCTTCCTGCTCAGGCCCTGGTTCCTGTGTGAAGTTTTGTACAGCTCTTTCAACAAGTTCAGTCCCTTTTCTTAGATTTACTTGTTTTTCCACTACAAGATACGAACAATTGAGAATTAAAAGCAACTTGTCTTTTATAAAATATGGTTTTCCTTGGTAAGCAGTTTAGTGGGTAGATCATGTCTGGTGGTCTCTGGGGTCTTCCTCCTTCCCACACCCCAATTTTTTAGCATTTTTCTGGGGCAAAAGACTTACTGTAAATGTTATATTGAATTTGGTTAAACTCTCCTGTGGGAGACACTGCTTTGGGAGCAACTCCCAGTGTTCTCCTTACTTTCAAGTATAAAGCCTTTTCCTCCTTTAAAAAAAAACCTCTTCTATGGCCTTAATGGGAAAAGGGGAGGGGAAGTTTGTTACATGAATTCATTATTTTTATTTTTTCCTGAAACTGGCCTTACTGCGAGCACTGTGTTGTACACATCTTTCCAGTCACTGAAAAGCAGACATATTGTACCTTATGATTATTTCCAAAAAGTTGGCAGTACAGTACACATTTCCCTGCCACTTCCTAGATCATTGGTTTTTAAACTGTGTTCTAGGGTGTGAGGAGGAAGTTCCTAGGAGCTGCTTCAGGCTGAAAAGAAAGGCCTACGAGTGGGCTGGCAGCAACATCAGGGCTCTCAGCCTCGGTCCAACAGCAGCAGCTGTCTTAACCTTTTATGTTGTCCATGAGTTCTACTTTACTTAAAGAAAGGGTTCTGCTGCTTAAAGGAAGTTTGAGAATTCTTGCCGTAGACAAAGTAGGATTTTTTTTTTTTTTTTGGTGGTTGCCAGTATAGAGATTGAACCCTGGGCAAATTAGGATTTGAGAGTCAGGAAACAAGTTCTAAATAGAGAGTGCATTTTATTTCCTGAGATGATGCTTCCATGAGACTGGGTTTGAACTATAGCTGCTTTTCTGAGCATTCTCTTTGATTTCCATTTTAACTCCTCTCAGTCTCTTTTTTCAAAGGCATTAATGTGGTTTTGCATGTTTTTTTGGTAGGACCTTTAGAAGTAATAGGACCCAGCCAATTGTAAAATATAAACTGACACAAGTATGCATCTACTTCTTTAATGCAAATTAACTGATATCACAAGGACCGCTCTTTTCCTCTTTTCTCTAAAAATCTTAAAAATCTTACACTAAAGCTATTTTTTTCTCACTGTTGTTTAGTTTGATATTCTAAATGGCTTTTTTCCCTATTTGATTTCTCTGCCTAGTGTTACTGCCTAGTTTCTGATTCTGTTAGCCTGTCATCTTTTTAAACTGATAAATGTGTTTTCTATTGCTTCTTCCACCTTTGCTTCTTATTTTGAGTTAAATTCTTCACATTCATCTTTTAATTTTTATTAGCTTCTTCTTCCTTTCCCTTCTCCTCTCATCCTTTTCCTCTTTCACCTTTTATTTCTCTCCTTCCCCCATGCCTTTTGGGGTATTACTTACAAGTCTAAAGACAAATGATGATATCTGGAGGTATTTTCTTATTTTAAACTTTGCTTTTTAATCACAGAAGTCATATAAAAGATAATATGTGTTTTAATCATATAATAAAAATTTTATAAGTTTACAAATGTGCTGGTGCTGAGTTACTACATTCACTTTGTGTGTGTATGGGGGTTACTTACTTCACATAGATTCTTCCATTTTTATTCTTTTTATTTTCAGGTTGCTAGGAAGAGGCTCAATGTTTGTGTTTTCACCAGATCAGTTTCAGAGACTGCTTAAAATTAATCCAGACTGGAAAACCCATAGACTTCTTGATTTAGGTGCTGGAGATGGAGAAGTCACAAAAATCATGAGCCCTCATTTTGAAGAAATCTATGCCACTGAGCTTTCTGAAACTATGATATGGCAGCTTCAGAAGAAGAAATACAGGTATAATTTTTAGACGTGGTTTATGGTATATGTCTTAGTTTTAGATGTATTTCGTCTTGAAAGTATATTATTTAAAGGATATGAATCAGAAACGATTTTCCATGATTTGAAATTTTAAAAAAATCTTTCCATACACAACCAAGTGGAAACTTAGAAAGAAATAATCTTTCCATGGCAGTATTTTTCTGGAGCAGAGGAGAGGGAGGACAATGGCTAGTTGAAAACAACTTGGAAAAGGCAGATCAGATGTAGGGACTTGTTCCCTAATCAGAATCTGCCGTTGTGCAGTTCAGGGTCATTAAGTACATTCACATTTTCGCACAACCGTCACCACCACCCGTCTCCAGAACTTTGTTATCTTCCCCAACGGGAGCTCTGTACCCATTAAACAATAACTCCCCATTCTTTCCTCCATCCAGCCCCCGACAACCCCCACTCTACTTTCTGTCTTTTGACTGTGGAATTTGTCTACTCTAGGTACTTCATATAAGAGGAATCATACATTTGTCATTTGTGACTGGTTTATTTCACTTATCATAATGTCTTCAAAGTTTATCTATGTTGTAGCCTCTGTCAAAATTTCCTTTAAGGCTAAATAATATTCCATTGTATGCATATTGTTTATCCATTCATTTTGTTTACCTATTCATCTGTTGCTGGGCATTTGGGTTGCTTTTACTATCTGACTCTTGTGCTAATGTGAATAATGCTGCTGTGAACATGGGTGTACAACTAACTGTTTGAGCCCCTGCTTTCACTTCCTTTGGGTATATACTCAGAAGTCAACTTGCTTCCACTTGTATCTGCTTACAATGGTAAGTCTATGTTTAATTTTTTGAGGAACTGCCATACCTTTTCTGTAGCAGCTGTACCATTTTACATTCCTACCAGCAGTGTACAAGGGTCCAATTTCTCCACGTCCTTGACAATTCTTGCTATTTTCTGTTTTGTTTTGCTGTGCTTTTTAATACTAGCCATCTGTAAAATGGGAGCGAAGTGTCAATTCTTGGTTTTAAGACCATCTGAAAGACTTAGGGAGAAGGGTGTTCTTATTCAGTACGGATTCTGTTTCTTGGGATGTTCCTGTATATTGGCTGAGAACAGAATGGGCGAAGTGGAGCTGGGGCTGGAGCCCACCTTCCTCTCTACAGTATTTTGGAAGCCTGGCTTAGCCTTAGAGAGAAAGGAGCAAGAATTGTGTAGTCACTTACTTTCCTATCCACATGTTTCTGCTTTTACAGACTAACCCTAGGGACAAAGCATCAGCCAGCTTTTGGAATGGGACTGGGTTGAACATTTACAAAATGTGGAAATTTTTAGCCTGGAGAAGGGAAGACCAGCTCTAGAGGGTTGGAAGGGAAGATTACTGTAAACAGGTAGTCAGTGGGATTTTATGTGGAAGGAAGGAGTAGGTATACAGTCTCTGATATAATCAGGAACAGCTAAACACAGAAGCTGAATTACAGGTTAGGGAGACTGACCTTCCTAACAGCTGGAGCCTTCTAAGTCCTTATCCCTGTCAGTGTTTAAATAGCTGTTAGGGATGTTATAGGAGGAGACTTACATAGGTGTGAGTTTGAACTAAGTCATTTGTAAGGTCCCTCCCCCTTAGCTCCAGCACTCTGTCTCAGATTAGGTCATGGTGAGTCTGTGTGGTGATAATTGAAATGTATTCTTTCAGTTAGAAATTTTCACCATTTCAAAACTTGGAGTGCTTTGACCTTTGTTATGGCAGTAGCTTAAGTCATGCTAAATTCCTAATATGACCCCTGCCCCCATCTTAAAAAAAAAACAAAAAAACTCCCAGTGCTTTGAAATGGGCCAAGGGAGGAAGGTGTTGGAACCTTGTCTTCAGATGATTGACAGTCATCCCTCCCTTTCCTTGCTTTGACTCTTAAGTGCCTAAATGGAATTTTCAGTGAAACATCAGATGTTTGAATTAGTAATTCAATATATCTAGAGTTTACATGGTATGTAACCTAGTAAACATACCCACCGCATAAAAAATATTTGGTTTAATTTTTTCCCTAATATACAACACGTATGCCCATCTGCAATGTAGAGGGGAAATTCATACTGGTTGACACTACTTCTGTAATGTTATCAGTGTGAAGTAAAGACGTTTTACAAAAGTGGGAAATTTTGTGACCATTTGAACAGTTTGAGGTTTTAATGAGGAAGTAGTATCTTACTAAGTTTAGGGCTCTCCCAACCTGTGATGGCAAGGGAGAATTTTGGCTTAATTTCACATTTTCATTTGGGTCTTTTTTTGAAGATGTAGCTATTTTTTGTTTCTCTTCAATATCTGGTCCCATGAAAAATAGGCTTTTTAATAAAGGTCTGGACGGCATTTTTGAAATAGATCAATAAGTAGGAATTGGCCAGTTTTTCCTCTGTTTTGTCAAGATGCTGTTGTTTATACCAGAAAACCCTATTGTAAAATTTAAGGATGTGGCTTTGATTTTTAGAACAAAACAGTAACTATACATTGTTGATATTTTGTTTTTTATTTAGGATTTATCAAAATACTGATTGCTTTGTCATTCTCTAAGGAAAAATGCATTTTAAATCCTCCTGGAAGGAAAACTATTACTTGTTTTCTTGAAGATAATAATCCCTTGAAAAGATACCCTGCTTCTAGGGTTAGAAATGCTGTTTTAGAAAAGCCATAGACATAGGAAGGTATTATACATTTAACTCTTGATTGTGTGCAATTATGAACAATTCCACAATTCAAATGGCAATAAATAGGCAGGAAAAAACTTTGGTGGCATGTTTACTTTCTGCAGTGTGCTTTACCAGAAGGTAATGTTAGGATGAGTTCACATGGTGTGAGTGGTGGTTAGTAGATGGTGGAGGCATGAAGCTGAGTGGTGATGGGGGTGAGTTTGGAATTAACTCCTCATGGATGATTCACATACGGTAATCAGAAAGGAATTGTATGATCTTTAACGTGCATTTGAAAGATGTTAACTTTAATCACTTATCCGTGTATGTTTGGGATCTTTCTCAAAAAGAAAATATTGTAGGTAAGAATTCTATTTCTCATGAAATAAGGATGAAGTTGAGCTTCTGTAGGTGTAGATTTAACTGTGCCAGCATTAAAGTTATAATTATGAGCATATATTTTTCTCTCAGAATGATCAACGTGGACACTACCTATCTGCAACTAGTTTTGAGGTGGACTTAGTGAGATTATTTTAGATTAAAACAAGCTGATTTTGTTTGGCTTCTGCTTCATTGCAGATAGACCTAAGAATTTTTTTTTTTTTGTCCTTTTTTGTAACCGGTAAGGGGATCGCAACCCTTGGCTTGGTGTCGCCCGTACCGCGCTCAGCCAGTGAGCGCCCCGGCCACTCCTATATAGGATCTGAACCCGCGGCGGGAGCGCTGCTGCGCTCCCAGCGCAGCACTCTCCCGAGTGCGCCCCGGGGTCGGCCCGGTTTTGTTTTTTTAAATCAAGTATGTAATTTGTTTTTTGTGACTTATGATTTTAAATTGGCTGTTTGGCTAAGGCATTAATATACAAACAGTCCTTTCTTTTTAATTGTTCATTCAGATTTTAAAATGGGAATTTGAATTTTTTATCCTGAAAGTAGAATCTTCTCAGCGATGTTTTGAAACTCTTCTTTGAAATGAGCTAAATCCAGTTTCTAAAATCATTATTGCAGTTGATTTCAGTACAGCGAAGTGATTTTTGAAGCCCTAATGCCCTACAGTACTTATTTCAAACAATGTTTAGTGTAATAAAACCACCTGTACAATAAGGGAATCTTAACTAGTCCCTTCAAATTCGTTAGAGTGTTGTTTGAAGGAGGCTTTAGTTTACTAAAATATAGGTTGAAAAGAAGGTGCTGCTGAATGGTGTGTGTTTTTCTTCTACTAAGCTTATATAAAATATTATGCTAATGAGTTTTTCAAAACAGCCCTCATAATACTTTCAGAATTTTCTAAGATATCTCTACTGTATCTGTTCAGCATAATTAAAGACGTGTTTATCAAAGATTCTTTTTTGTTTCCTTTTCCACTTGTATCCGTCATAACTTTTCTCACCTACCATATTCTCAATGGTATAACCAAGCAGGAGTAAGTAATTAATAGAATTGCTTTAATGGTGTGGCTAACAAAGATTCTTGATATAAAACCTCCCCCTTTCTGTAGATAAAAAGATTGTAAAGGACGAAAAATGTTTTTGTGTGTGTGTGTAAAAGAGAGAGATTGAGGGTTGAGAGTGGTTTTTTAACCATGCTCTTTATTTACAGTTTTAATAGGATGTCCTGTGCTTTATCTTTTTCTGTATAGTCATTCAGATGTGAAGGTTCAAGAGTGTGAAATAATCTCTCTCTCCTGGGAACAGGAATATGTGCTCAAAAGGTCATAGGTTACAAATGGAAATTATTTTATACCACCGCTAGCCATTCTTAAGAATGGGGGGGACGCTAGGAATAGAACACATGAGTAGATGATGATTAAATTCCAATCAGTTTTTAAAAGCAGAACTCTTTTGTTCATTAACCAGTGTTCAAGAATTTGATGTCTTAGTTTCATGACCATTTTTGTCACCTTGTGTCCTCATGCTTATTAAGCATATGGTTAGTTCTCGTAAAGGAAATTTTGTTTGTTCTGAGATTTGGAAATAGATGAAATGCTAAATTTAAAGAAATATGGTTGTTGTTTTTCTCTTCCCTGACCGTTTTATTACTGCAAGTATAAATTATAAGTGAATTTACTTTGATTTAGGAGACATAGTTAGAGCCTTTACTGGCATCTCACTTATTTTTAAAAGTGTATTTAATGGGGGGGCTATCTTAATCCAGTTCTTTCTTATTTTTCCAGAGTGCTTGGTATAAATGAATGGCAGAATACAGGGTTCCAGTATGATGTCATCAGCTGCTTGAATTTGCTGGACCGCTGTGATCAGCCCCTGACTTTGTTAAAAGATATCAGAAGTGTCTTGGAGCCAACTAGAGGCAGGGTTATCCTTGCCCTGGTCCTGCCTTTTCATCCCTATGTGGAAAACGGTAAGGGTGGTCAGGCCAATTCTTACCCTGGATCACTCTTTATTGGTATTTGTGACGTTGTGCTGTGTACAATTAAACATTGTTTAGTATTTCTTAGAATAGCCTGTAATTTAAAATAATACTGTTAACACATGTAAAATATCCCCTTGGTTAATGTTCATCTTAATGTGGATTAATGTACAAACTAGTCCTGTTTGCACTGGAAATGATTAATAGTCAGCTGGCCTGCCTTCTTGAGACTGAAAGCCTAAAATGCATCTATATTGTCTGGTTTTAGATGGAGCTTGAACCATTTATTTATTAGCTTATAAACTGAGTCCAGCAGTGAATGATACTTTTTAATCTGCTCATATATACTTCCTGAATGTCATGGCTGCTTTGTTTTGCATTTTGCATTTCTTATCCCAGACTCTAAAAATGATAAAAGTGGTTGTTTTGCTCTTTTGAAGACCATTCGTTTTCTAGCATGTATCATTTCTTTGTGTAATGTTTTATTTATTTATTTATTTATTTATTTTATTGCATGGTCTTGCTCTTTGGCAATATTGAATGAAGAATATATTAGAAGAAATGGTTTGATTTCATGTCACTTCATATTACCATGACTTCTGGCACTTTATGTGACTTAATGTGACACTAATTCATACTTTCAGCTTATGTGGTTTACTTTTCAGGTCATCTTGAAGGTTATGACTTTAAGTCTCTCTTTTGCATTTTGGTAAGCTAATGGACATTAATATAAAGATTATTTATTATATAAGTAATACATGTTAATATTTAAAAGTCTTTAGTTTTTCTCTTTTGCTGCCTAGATGGCCTTGGCTTCAAAAACTCTAAGAGCTTGCAGGCATTTAAAGAAATTTATTACTATTTTGCAAGTGTCACAGTTATTAAATATCATGAAAATCTAAGTCTTAAGGGATAATGCTCATGTTTCTTAGAACCACGGAGTCTCTATGGATTTGTGTTACCATTTGCTCCTCAATTTCTCCTTGTCTTTATTTTTTTCCCCCAGGTCTTAGTCCCTTCAGATTTAATGCTTGTCTTAACATTTACCAAATGGTTTTACATTTGTGTGGTGGTGGGGAGAATGGGGAATTCTTTAGACATGGGAGGGTGGGGAAGAGAACAGATAGAACAGATATCCCCTCTCCCATCTTACTTCTCCATTTTTACATTCCTATTGTTGAATGGTTTGTCATGGTAAAAACCTGATTTAAATGCAAATGCCTGTATGTCATGTGTATGTGGCACAGTGAAAAAACCTAGTAAATATTCTCCTTGGTAATTCAGTGGCCTGACCTGCTTTCAGTGCTGTTGCCTGTGTAATTCAGCCTGAGCTCCATCTCTCTGCCTGGCCCGCACGAGCCATCAGGTTGTAAGGCCCCGGCTTCCTGTGTCCTGTTGGGCAGCCCCATGGCAGAACATGAATGCTACTTCCTGGCACAGCAGGAGGTGGAAGAGCAGGGGGAAGAAACATCATCCTAACCATGAATTTTATTTCCTTGTGTTTCTGACACTGAAAATCAAGAGGAAGTCAAACGAGACAAAAGGGCAGTCTCTGCTAAGGCTTGAAAACAATCTCCTTGATTGTGGATGTGCAGAGCTGCCTGTGGGGTTTGAGAAGTCTGGCATGTGCCACACTGCAAACCTGAGACAAGAAGCCTTGTTGCTTTGGGTGACCTTTAGTGACCTATAAATTTTGCAGACTGCTCCACGGCATTCTGTTATTGCTTCCTTTCTCTACGTCACTAATTAGATCCTGATGATTTCCATGTGAAACTGTGTGAGGGCTGTGAGGTGCAAAGTGGTCTTGCTGTGTAAGCCCATGAATACTGGCCTGTTTTAAGGGTGTCTGAGTATGCTTTGCATATTTAGCTTCATTTTTTTTTTAACAGAAAGCAATTGTAGGCGACAGGATTACTTGTCTAATATTTTGGATAAATGTCTTGAAATTAAATCACAGCAGTTTTGTTGCTTAGATTAACTTGGAAAAAATGTTTCTAATTTCATTTTATTTGGTTTACTGATCCAGTTTTGGTTAGGAGTTGTTAAATCTAGTGAGGATTATTTTAAACACCAAAAAAAGGAGAGGTATATAATAGAGAAAAGGAGAGTTAGAGTATAAAAATGAAAATTTAATGACATGTTTAATTTTTCAAAATCATAGTTTTTGTAAAACAGTCATTCATGGTGAAATGGTCAAGCAGCTTGCAGAAGGGTGTGCCTTGAAGAGTTTCTCATCCACTCTGGTTCCACAATCTTGTCCAGGTATCCTGAATATTCTTCAAAAGATAGACCCTACAATTATATGTATGTACATTAAATATTATTTATACAAGTAAAAGCCCATTATAAATGCTTTTATTGCCTTTTTCCACTTAAATGTATTTAGGAAGGTATCCCTTGACAGTGCATATGTATCTATATCGTTGTCTGGATGGTGAGCAGTGCTATGCTAGAGCTGTCTTCTACTGGCTCATGGGAGCTGATTGTTATATCGGTAGGAATTTAGTGAACTGGTTGTTAAACATGGCCATTATTGAAATTGGCTGTGGTGGAAGTATTTATGCCTCAGAAAGTGGCAAACACTGCATATATAGCCTCTCTTCTCTGAGCTGGTTGTGAAGCATTTACCTGCACACCACTTGGATGTATGATAACTCCATTTGAGGAGGCCCCTAGTAATGTTCTTTCAGATAACAGCAGTTTGCTTATTATGATGTTAAACAAGAAAAAGTGGACATTTTTATCTATTTCTGACTTGCTGAAAATATTTCTACTTTTTTTTTTTTTTTTTTTTTTTTTTTGTGGCTTGCTGGTACGGTGATCCAAACCCTTGATGTTGGTGTTATAAGACCATGCTTTAACCAACCAAGCTAAATGTCCAGCTCAGATCTAATGTCTTTGGTTTTTTTCTTTTTTTGGTGGTTGGTCATTACAGGGAAGTGAATACTTGACCCTCATGTTACAAGGCTGTGCTCTAACCAACTGAGCTACCTGGCCAGCCTGGTGTCTCTACTTTAAATATGATGCTATGTTTTGGCTTGAGATTGCTGTCATTTGGCTTTAGATACATGTTTTTTTAATCCTATTTTATCAAGAGCTTAAAAGTCAGCGATTAATATTGAATTTTGTTACCTGAGTTTTTAATGTCTATGGAGCTGGCCATATTATTTTTCCTCCTTTGACTTATTAAATTTATAGTTCTTTTCTATTATATATCCACTCTTGCACTTCTGGGCTCATCTTAGTGTTTCATCTGCAAAAAAGGGGCTAATGCCTACCTTGAGGTCTATAGTGAGGATTAAATAATGTAATGTATAAGACAGTGCCCACCTGTGTCTGTCTCATATTGGTGTTTGATATATGTTAATTTTATTATATCCTATTGTTACTTTGTTCTTATTTGTGGCTTTATTGAGCATACTTGTTCGCTGTTCTTCAGTTGAAATATTTTTTAGTGTCTTTTATATGTGCCTAAAATTCTTAAAACAATAATCAGAATTTGAAGTCTTCATTCTGCATTTTAACTTTGACTCAAAGTCTATGCATTCTCCATCAGTTTATGTTTCTTGATGCCACAGAATCTTACTTAACTATATGCCTGTTAGCTGGGGGTTTCAGATTCTCTCAAGTCCTTATATGGTATGAAAAAGAAATAACTTATTTTGAAAATCCTGTTAAAATCTTTTGGTGTGTGGTTTAAGTGCTGGTATCTAGAGGGTAGGGTATGTAGACACTAGAAAACCTTTCTGTTCATTTCCCTCTTATAGTTGTGTTGTAGACTGAATGTTGTGTTCCTCCCAAAATTTATATGTTGAAACTAACCCCCCCCATTGTGATGGTATTTGGAGATTGGGCCTTGGAGAGGTAATTAGAATTAGATGAGGTCATGAGTGTCCCACCCTCATGAATGGGACTAGTGCCCTTATAAGAGTCCGAAGAGACCTTGCTTCTCTCTGTTTGCTGCCATGCAAGTATACAACAAAAAGTTGGCAGTCTGCATCTTGGAAGAGGGTCCTTACCAGAGCCCAACTGGAACCCTGATCTCAGACTTCAAGCCTCCAGAACTGCGAGAAACCAAGTTCTGTTGTTTATAACCACCCAGTCTGTGGTAGTTTGTTATAGCAGCCTGAACTAAGACAAGTTGTTTCAGTATTATTCTCTTTTCATTGTCATGGGAAACTCAAATGTGAACAGAAAGCCATAGCATAATCCTTTTCAGTGAAAATTCTTCTGGGTGCTCAGATAGCAGGAAGATTAGTACCGTTAGGGATTCAGTGAACGGTCTTTATGGAGGGGGTGAGAGTCGATGGCTAGGCAGTGAAGTTTGCTGCACATCTCAGCTGAAATGCTGAATGAATGTTTTCTACAGAAACATTGTTCAGTCGCATTCATGTGAAGGCATTTGAGCACCTACTATGTACCAGCTAGTGCTAGGCAGTGGAAATACAAAGATAAATGAGAAATGTGCTTCTAGTGTTAAAACACAGAATTGTACAGAAGATTGTGATAGTGGCAGGATGGTGTGATAAAAAATATGACAAAGTACTGTGAGATTAGGGGAGGAAAGATCTGTTAACTTTTGGGGGAGTTAGGGGAGGTTTCATGTTGGGGGTGACATTTGAGCTGTGTTTGCAGTCTGTGACGCATTGTACCTGGCAGAGGGGAACAGCACATGCAGAAGCATGAGGATGTGGACAAGACGGGTTTGGGGTGGGGCAAGTTCAGTGCAACCCAAGGAGAGTATGCAGAAAAGGCCTTTGACTGTGCAATAGTACAGCACTTGATAGATATGGTTGGCTAGATGGATGAATAAAAGTGGATGGTATACACCAGCCACTCTTATATATGACCTAGGGGAGCAGAACTCCTTTTTTTTGGAAAGTGTATTTCAAATTTCAGCTAACAATCTTTGAAACACAGTCCTTGCTTACATTGGGAAAGGCATATTTTGAATTAAATACTAGTTTATTTTAGGGATTGTGTCTCTTGGTTAGTTACACAAAGAACAATGTATCTTCAGCTCTGGAATTAAGTGCCTAAATGTAATGACTTCCAAAAATGAGAAGTAAATGATTTAATTCAACACTTATTCTATTCACCTAGATGGAATTAGTACTTACCTTTTTTTTGGCTGTCTGGCTTCATTAATTTCACTCAAGCTTGTGGTCTCAAAGTTGGGAAGTAAACACCTCAGAGAGTATACAAGACAATTTATTTTGGGATATAGGAAGAAAATATTAGCATTTCTATTCGTAGTGCGTTTTATGCCATTGTTTAATTTCTATTTTTGTGTATGAGATACAAACAAATACACACATACATGCATATACTATACACACATACAACATACATATACACATGCACTCACACATATACGCACATATGCACAAATAAGATGAAGGTACATGCTTCCTCCTTTTCCTTTCCCATTTTTCTGGGCACATTGATCAGAAAGGTTTGCTACCACTGATTTTAAGCCTTTGGTGCACAATGCTTTCAAAGGAAATAAGATGAAGGTACATGCTTCCTCCTTTTCCTTTCCCATTTTTCTGGGCACATTGATCAAAAAGGTTTGCTACCACTGATTTTAAGCCTTTGGTGCACAATGCTTTCAAAGGGGTCTTAAAGTATTTTAAAATTCTATCTGGTTTTTTAAAATATGATTCATTTAATCCTAGTTTAAAAGAAACAAACATAATAGGTTGTAATGCATGTTTAATAAATGCACACTTGTGGGTACTTTAGATTTTTTTTACACTGAAATAGCTTTCAAAGAACAATCAATATCATGTTTTCTTAGTGAAATGGCAATATATTCCATAAATATATTTGCTGTGCCCAGTGCCCTGTCTGATATTTTCCTCCTGAATTGGTTAAAAATTGGTACTGCAAAGGCACTTGTGAAGTTGAGTGTTTGCACACTGCCTCCCTGGTGCTGTGATTTGGCACAACACGGACATCTAGGGTTAGTTGTGGCTTATTTGTTCTGAGGTTTTCTGTTTAACCTTCTGCTTTGGATTATGTATATTTTAGTTTTTGTATTCTAATGCTAGTCTCTATTCTTACTTTTCATTGGTAGCATGATTTAAGTAGTTATTTTGCATACCCTGGCAGGAAAATGTGCACTGTATCATCGCCCCATTACAGTATCAGAGGAAATAATTTTTGTTTCAAGGTACTTTTATTTATTTTTTTATTGGTTATGAATATTCATGGATACCAAGCTGACCATCCACTGTCATGTCCAAGATGTGATGGCTAGATCAATACTGGCAGTGTGCCCATTACCACAACTTGCGATTACACCTTGTGTCCCCCACCCAATTTATCCCCGACCTCCCTCCCACTTTCCTTTTCTCCCACCCCACTTTGTATCCCTAGGTATGTTCTCTCCCTCTGCAAGTCCAAAGCACCACTGTGGTCTTTCTTTCCTTCCCTCCTTCTCTCTTAGCTCCCACTTATGAATGAGGACATGCAGTATTTTTCCCTCTGTGCTTTGCTTATTTCATTCTCAGGATACTTTTCAAAATGAATTTTTCTAACCCAAATCTGGCACTTGCCTTCTTCCTTTTTTCCGTCCCAACTGGTTCTAGTTGTCCCGTCATTTCCACAATCCATAAGCATAATCTTTCACCCATAGTAGAGGCAGGTGGTTTGACTACGGATCTTCTCAGGGTAGTCATCACACACCTCATATGTGGAATGAAGCAAATGTAGTCGTTATAAAAGTTTTTGAAAATGTTAGGCCGCTTAGAATTTTCCTGGCAAATCAGGAAAGTGTTTTTTACTTGCATTTTGTTGGGTTTCAGTATTTTGGTAATTACTGTTCGTTACACTTTCCCTCTGCTCTGGCATCCTTCTTTTTTTTTTTTTTGTCTTTTGACTTTTTCCGTGTCCGGCAACGGATCGCAACCCTCAGTGTCGCCCCCGTACCGGACCGGGGACCAGCAACGGGATCGCAGCCCTCGGCGCTGCTCCCGCGCCTCGCTCAGCCAGTGAGCGGGAACCGGTCCGTATGTGGGATCCGAACCCTCGGGCGGGAGCGCCGCCGCGCTTCCCAAGC